TGAAGATGAAGATGAAGATGAAATTATATATGTATATTAGAAAATAAGTACATGTGTATGTTAAGTTCTGAACACATTGAAAACGACGAGCTACCGACCACAGCTTCCAATTTGTCATCTTTATTATCTAAGCGCTTTGTCGATGGCGACATGATTTCTTTGAACGCGGCAGCGACATCATGAATTTGTATGAGTTTGACATAAAAGAAGAGGAAGAACCTTATCTGTCGCCAGAAAAATAGAAATAGATCTAATCTGGCCACAACCACAGCCGTCGCGTAGCCCGGTCGTCACCAAAATAATTATCTACATAAGAGTACGTGTTAAAATAATTTGACAGCTGTGGTTTGTAGCTCGTCGTTTTCATTGTGTTCGGGCTATATATATCGCACATTTCTTTCTTTCTGGAATTTCCTCTATTATGTTTCACTTCTTCCGCGCGTAGGGACTACACGCACTGAGTTTTTTTTTTATAAAAACTTGTTTTTTCTATTTCTAATTAACTTTTTTATACTTTATTCAAAATCGCCCGATATCTAATTTGGCATAATTTCTTTTATTAAAAAATCCCACGGTCTCTGTTAATTGGGTCATATTCCACTTCAAACTACTCAGTTTGCCTAAGAAAATTTCGTTTTTCCCCCTTTTCCAAACGGTTCCCTAGGGGTCCGTGGGAGGGCCCGAAGGGGGAGGGGGTGCGACTTTTCGTAAAGTGGGGGCTGTCCCTTTTCGAATAGGGGGCTTAGGGGGCCACGCCCCCACCCCCTCCGCCCTCCACCCCAAAAACGACCGGCAAATAACTAAAGATTTCCCGAAACTAGAGCTATATAAAGAGGAAAATTACCAACAAAAAGTAAATAATCTTCAAATAATCTTCAAATGAAATAAAACGCTAAGTGGATCAAGTGCGGGATTACTGTCGGACTGTAAACTGTGAAGTGAATTATTGTAATACGATATTGATTAACTACATAATACATACGGAGTAATAAAATAAAAAATGTATATTTATATTCTGCTATGTAAGTCGTTTCAGCCATAAAGGTAAATGTTATTTTACTATTTCAATTTTAGTATTCATTGATATGTTTGAGACCAATTGGAGAATCAAATTGGAGTTCAAGTTGAGAACTAGTATATTTTTCTAAATTGAGAAAAAGTCTTACGCCCCTATTGCGAGTGTCGACTAGCAGTAGATAAACGAATATTATTCGATTATCGCTTTTCCATGGTATTGTGAATATCGATTTCTCGCTCAATAAGCGACTGTGAATAGTTTTTAGTCGCTCATCCTTCTTCAACTGTTTATTTGTAAAATGATGAGCGCCTATAATTTATTCATACTGACTTACTGAACGAGACAACGACGTTGACAATACCATGGAAAAGCGATTATCGAATAATAGGCGTTTATCTACTACCAGTCGACACTCGCAATAGGGGTGTTATTTTCATATAAAGAAATGCCCTTTTTGTTGAGAACGCTAAGATCCTCCATTTGAGGTACCGTTGAGAAACAAAGTTTGGAGATTTGAGAAGTACCTAAGCTCTCAAGTTAACCTCAAGTTGACCTGAAACCTAAATGTTAGTTGATTATTGGACTTCTTGGCGGTACGAACATATTTTAATTATCGATAGCATTTGTTTCGTACAATCACGAAATAATATCGATATTTGCACTTAAAATCTTAGCGCGCTTGCAACCCTGTATGGCTAATGTTTACGAAAGATATCAAAGGGAAATGTAAACGTCATCTTTTCTTCTCCTTTGTTTTGCCGCGTATTTGTTTGAAATATATTTTTGTGAATAAATTTTAAAATCTTCTTTATATATATATCTCCAGGTTAACTAAAACGTACTTGCGGTTTAAATTGTTCCCAAATGCAATTGGAATCCAATGATTTACGAGCAGCCAAACGAATACTTGCCAAACTAGTCGATGACGCACTGCTGGAGTACGAGCGTAATTTGGCTGATTTAGATGAAGATTCAAGTAGGTTTCCAGCGGTTCTAAAAACCCTAAATAACATCCTTTAATTTATATAGATTTGGAAGCACTACTGAACCACCTATTCCTGCAACTCAAATCACTTTTGGGAGATATTCTTGTTGAAGCTTTGAGCATTTTGGACGAGCAAAGTATTCAAATATATACATATGAAAATAGTGAGCTTGCGGAAATACAAATAAGACGTCAGCAGTGCAAGAGCTCAATTTGGTTGTTTCCACGCGTCAACTACTGTACTTGTACTCAATTCAAAGTGGGTGTGTTGGGATTACCAGACGAATTGCAACCAGCGAGCCAAACTTCTCACAGTGAAAAATTAGAAAGAATAATTACTTGTGCACACGTTTTGGCATTGCGTCTGGCACAGTTGTTGCACCCATCTCCATCAACTTTCAAAGTGGAGTCAGTGTCTGAGCAACAATTTAAGAGTCTACAAGAACGAATGCATAGCAGTTTTATAGAGATACACGAAGATAGCACGGATTGACAATAATCGAATGCAACATTCAAAAACTCTTTATGAGAAAGGCATCTTAAAGAATATAAGGATGTTAACACAACGGCAGTACTCGAATTTTAAATTCGTGGCACGTTTGGATCAGATCAAGACTTTCTATACAGGCATTAAATCATTGAATTTTGAAAATGTAAGTATCCAAATGTACTTGAATTACAAATGTAGTATATTCAATATTTTCTCGAACAGAATGGAAAATTCCAAATTAGTGAAGACGGCGTACGTGTCACAGTAGAAGAAGGCCAATGTGTACAAGCCAATTTGTATATGACCGCTTCGTGCTTTGCTGAATTTCACGTTGTAGATATGGTGACTTTTGGCATAAACATGAATATCATATCCGAGTGTTTGGGTCTCTTTGCTGGCGTTCCTTGCAGCTTAAAAATGTTCTACAAAGGTCATGGAGCACCACTTGTGCTAGTGCTGCGACCCAACGACGAAGCTGATATTTCTGCAGAATGCTCCATCAAAACAACCAACGTTGATGATGTAATCGATTACAATCTTGACGAGAACAGTTCTAGTTTGAATGTCGTCTTTGTGAGGGGCCCGTCGTTAGCGCATCTCTTTCAAGAGTTAAATAAAGCAGCAGACGAGTTGAGAATTACTTTATCGCCTCGACAACCACATTTTAAAATCGAAACATTAGGTGTGGTGAAAACCGAGACGTTTGTTGAAGTAGCCAAAACTAGTGATATGATGATGTTATTCAATTGTCGGGAGACTACATCGGCATGTTATCGTAATACTGAGATACGTCTGACTCATAAAGCTTTGGCGGCCGCCACTAAGGTAGCAATAAAAACAGACTCAAGCGGTTTATTGGAAATGCATTTCATGATGCAATCCGAAGAACAGGCGGAGGTGTATGTACAGTTTTATATAATGCCACTAGCAGATGTTTGAGTTCCTTCGCGCTGCTTCTTTAAGGTATCCAATGTAGTGAAGTAAATGTTTTTGTTTAAAACCGTTCTAGGTTAAAGCTATTACTCATGCAAACATTTGTTAATTATATTTGTACTAATTTAATTTTAACTCTATTAATTTTTTTTTTTAATTGTTTCATCGATGGATTATAGAACATACTAGAAAGTTATTGAAAATAGCAGGTTAATTAAAAATGTTACGAACGTTTTTAGTCATTTTTCCCGAATAATGCTGGATTTCCACTCGGCATTAAATGGCAAAAATGGCACATGACAAAGTCGGGCGTCAAAAAAATCGTGTCATTACATTAAAGAAATGGTCATTAAGTTCATTTCCACATGGCATACACTTTTTGTCATTTTAATGGCTAGTGGAAATTCGGCATAAACCACGATTACACACTCAAGCTTTAAAAGATAATCTTTTTTAAAACTTCGCATGTTATACAAACTCATTTGCTACCTGTTATTATTATAACGAGCGTAAATCACGTTTCAAGAGTTGCTTTTACCTGCCATCATTTAACAATTTCGGTATATAAGCAGAAGTCCTTTACAGAAGGTTCATTTGTTTTCGAAGTGCAGTAATAACAAAACATATTTTAAAAATATGTTTCACCAAGTGTTTAGTTTTTGTATGATGTTAATATTTTTGTGCTGGCGATCATTCGTAATTGCGCAGAGTGGCCATTCAGATGAGGAAATGATACAACTGGCGGATTTATTAGGTTTAAGTCCGGCTAGTGCACGACTCAAAAGGCAGCCATCGCTGAGGTGAGTTGTTAGGAAAATTTCGTGGTTATTTGATGTACATTTAATTATAATTTACTTACCAAATTACAGTAATTCAGCCACAAAATTTTTGCTTGAGGTTTACAAAGAAATAAGTGAAGGAGATTCGCCCGAAGTCGAGCAACAGACGAGACACCGACGTGCAGTTGCTGATGAAAACTTTATAACAGCTTTTGATCGTAGAGAGATAGAACTCAGCAACAACATAATCACATTTGCTAGTAGACGTAAGTGTATCTTTGTTGCAAATTTATTTTTTCCAAACTGATTTACCTTCTCGTTTTCCTACAGCCACACCTTTCACAACAAATTCGGCACTGTCCGGTGATATGCTACTCAATTTTAATTTAAACGATATACCATCCGATTTGGAGTTAATCCACGCAGCAGTACGTTTATATCAAGATCCCCAAGTTGGCAGGCACGGCATGAGTGCGTTGGCGTCGCAACAACGTAACTTTACCATTTCTCTATACCAGCCAGTTGGTCAATATTTGCTTGTCGTTGCCTCTATAAACGCTAGCACTGACTTCAGAGGTTGGCTGGAATTGAATGTAACCCATTTATTCAACAACTGGCTACATTTTCGTACACTGCAGCAAACGCTCTATGGCAATGAAGTACTTGTTGGCGTCACAATGCATTCGCCGCTTGTGGGAGCAGCTGCATCC